ATTTAATATATTATTTATCACGTCGCGTAATAAATTATATAATAAAATGATGTGACAATTACCAATATGCAAGACATTTGACAACACTGGTCAGAGTCATTTAGTGATATAAATTTCGTTACAATTTGATAACCCTTTCCGCCTTTCGGTTTTTTTTTTTAACGAACTCTATATTATAATTAATAATGTCTGCTGAGTATCTCAACAAAGGAACCGAGCTTTATACTGTTCCAAAATGTCTTTTAGATCCATCTTTAAATCCTACGCCTTACATTAATTCTATCGAACAATATAAAAAGCTTTATGATGAAAGTAATAAAAATCCTAGAGTTTTGGAAAAAAGTAAAGTTTTAATTTTAATCGTAGTATTAGTCAATTAGATATAATCTTGCAATCCATAATACAATTTTCATTATGTCTAAATAATTTATTATTGGTGACGGTCGAGAATATTGCATCTTTTATTAATTTCTTGAATGAGAATACTATATGGAATTTAATTTTCGATCATTAATACCTTTTAATGGAAATCAAACAATAAAATTATATATTAAGCGTTATATCGGTGCAATACTTTCGGCTGTCGCTATATTATGTTTATGGTTAATAGATTGCTAAAGAATCTCTTACTTGGGTTACGCCTTTCCAAACTGTTCTATCTGGAGGTTTCGAACATGGTGACATTGCTTGGTTCCATGAAGGTCAATTAAACGCTTCTTACAATTGTTTAGATAGACATGCTCTTAAAAATCCTGATAAGGTATAGTATTTAAATTTTTTTTTAAAGTTTAATTCAATAAATATTGACAATATTTTGATAGGTTGCCATAATTTATGAAGCTGATGAACCCGGTCAAGATCGAAAAATTACATTTGGTGAACTTTTACGTGATGTTTGTCGTCTCGCCAATGCGTTGAAAGCTCATGGAGTAAGAAAAGGTGATATTGTTACTATATATATGCCAATGGTACCCGAAGCTGTCATTGCTTTTTGGCATGTACTCGTCTGGGTGCAGTACACTCTGTAGTCTTTGCTGGTTTCTCTGCTGAATCTTTACGTGATCGAATTCAAGATGCATCTAGTAGATTTGTCATCACTGCTGATGAAGGCCGTCGTGGGGGCAAAACTACTATTATAAAAAATATCGTAGATAATGCTTTAAAAGAATGTCCTACCGTTAAACGCGTTTTTGTTTTCCGTCGTACTGGCTCAAAAATTCCGTTCATTACTCCTCGTGATGTATGGTGGCACGAAGAAATTGAAAAATATCGACCTTATTGTCCTCCAGAAATTGTCAATGCAGAGGATCCTCTATTTTTGCTTTACACTTCCGGATCAACTGGCAAACCAAAGGGAATTCTTCACACTACAGCTGGTTATTTATTAGGTACAGTAACTACATTCAAATATGTCTTTGATTATCATGATGGAGATATCTTTGGTTGTATGGTTGACATTGGTTGGATTACTGGTCATACTTAAATTGTATATGGTCCGTTGGTTTATGGTGGTACTACGATCTTGTTCGAGTCAACACCTTTTTATCCTACACCAAAGCGGTATTGGGAGGTTGTTGCCAAGCATAAGATTACGCACTTTTATACAGCACCGACAGCAATTCGTTTATTGCGTAGATTTGGCCGTGAACATATTGATTGTCATGATCTTTCAAGTTTAAGAATTATTGGATCAGTTGGTAAACCTATCGACCCAGAATCTTGGAAGTGGT